AATTTTGTAGAATCTCTTCTTCAGTAGGAATTTCTTTGTTTCTCCAATTTTGAGCATAGGTCAGTCTGGCGGCCGTAAAGATGTGTAGCATTAGATAGAGTGTTCCTTTATCGAGGCATATTTAATGTGGATGAGGACATCACACATATGAAGTCATTCCTTTCCCTCCCATGAAAGCCCAGAGTTGGAAACCATGGTTTTCTTTTGAGCAAAAGCCATTTTCTTCAATTCTGATTAAGGCACAAAAACTATTCTTTCAGGCAATAGGGTGATCTTCTGAAGTCCTTGAGTACTGCCAGTGTTATATTGCTATATTAGATTTTTATCCCAAGTTTATTACACTTATAAATAACTCAAGGCAGCAAATACACCTAATGTTCCTTCCTCTTGTTTTCCCCATAACAACCTTTAGAGGTGAATTCTGATGAGCAAGGAGACGATGCGAGATATTTTAAGGTTGTCCCTCTTTTCTCACATCTAATCAATGTCTACTGATGGATGTTGTTTGTGTCATGAGTCATCTGATATCACCTGTGGTCCAAAACATGGACCACAGGTGATATCAGATGCTGTGGTCCAAAACATTTCTTTATGCTGTGGTCCAAAACATTTCTTTAAACAGCTCATTAAGTTAAAGGGTGCACCAAGAATCCTTTTGCACTCTCTGGCTGAAGTCCATATGTCTTAAAGTTGCCAAGGCTGAGGAACAGTCTAGACTCGTGGACTTCAATTCCCAGAATTCCTGAGCCAGCTTAGCTGGCTCAGGAATTCTGGGAGTTGAAGTCCACGAGTCATAAAAGAACCAAGGTTGACTACCCCTGGTCTAGATCTAGAAGCTCTTTTCCTAGGCTAGATTACACAGCAGTGGGCCCTATACGAGTCCAATAAAAATCTGGGCTAGTTTCCAAAGTACAGTGGCAAATGAGTAGAAAAACTATTGTGTTGTAAGTAGCCTCTTCTCTATTCTTTAGGAATCCTACTCTTTGATCTAACAAATTAACAATTATATGTGCATTTATAAGAATCCAGCAGCATTAAATATGCGTGAACCCTAGAAGTATATCTATTTGATTTTGTCTATAATATTCATCTGAACCTCCAAGAAACTGGAACACCAGCAGTCCAAATAACCCTATAATACAGGTAGTTATACTACCAAGCATCTATTCTACCAAGCACCTTATTCCTAACCCCATAAAAACGAATAAAATCTATAAAAAAAAAATACAGGTAGTCCTCGACTTACAACAGTTTGTTTACTGACTGTTCAAAGTTACAATGGCAATGAAAAAAGTGACTTAAGACCATTTTTCACACTTATGACCATTGCAGCATCCCCTTGGTCATGTGATTTACATTTGGATGCTTGAAAACTGGTTCATATTTATGATGGTTGCAGTATCCCAGGGTCATGAGATCCCCTTTTGTGACCTTCTGAGAAACAAAGTCAATGGGGAAGCCAGATTCACTTAACACCCGAGTTACTAATTTAACAAGTGCAGTGATTCTCTTAGCGAATGTGGCAAGAAAAGTTGTAAAATGGGGCAAAACTCACTTAACAAATTTCTCACTTAGCAAAATAAATGTTGGGCTCAATTGTGGTTGTAAGTCAAGGGCTACCTATAGTTATTTATTCAATTTATATACCCCACCTATCTCACTGTAACAACTCTGGGTGGCTAGCAGGCTTAAAAACTTTTAAAAACAACATAGCAGCAAAGGGAGCAGTATGGATACGGACACATTTTTTTCATTTATAGTACAGATTTTTCTAGCCCCAAATGGAGAGGTTTTTAGACTCCCTTCCTATATACCCGCTTCCCACAATATATTAAGACCTTCATTTGTGCTAAAAAGGCCCAATGACTCTGTTTGCATTACATCCCATGCAGTGGTGGGATTCAGCCAGTTCGCACCAGTTCGGCAGAATCGGTAGCTAATTTTTTGTTGCCCAGGCTCAGAATGGACTTCCGGAAGCGGCATCCGCACAGAGAACCAGTTCACATATTTGAATCCCACCACTGATCCCATGTGACACTGAAAACTACAAAGAGTTTGGCCTTTTTTAGCTCAACCCAGCCAGTTTTCTGGGAATCTGAAGCAATCCTCTGGATTATAGTATCAGTTCTTTGAGAAAAAAATAAATCTCTTTTTTCAGGTAAATAGGATGCAATGGCTAGGGAGCCAAGTCAACAAGCCCAGTTCCAAACATCCTGGAAATTGTCTTTTCAGCAGCATCTGGAGAGCCAAAGCTGCTGCAGTTTTGCTTCCAAAGGTAAACATTCTTATCTTTCTTCTTCTGAACAAAAGGCTAATTTAAATGGAAGATGGGAATCTACATGATTTGAGTACCCCTCATCTAATCCAGCCTGCTTCTGAACGATTTCCATAAAAAAGCCGCCCATGGTCCGTTTGAAGTTAATGTTTTCTCGTCCATCTCTGTCTAGTATAAAAGCTGGGGTAAAATGGCTAATGGGAAAAAAAGAGAGGGGGTAGCCTTTAAAGGGCCATTTTCCTCTCTGCTCTGCATAAATTAATGTAGAGACATAATTGGCAGTGTGCAAAAAGGAGGAGAGGGGAAGATACGCCGACCAAGGGACAGGAAACAGAACGGTCAAATGCGATTTCAAAGAGACAAAAAGATGCCTCGGGTTGCCTTGAGCAAATCCATCTGGCCTTCTCTTCCTGATTATAGAACAGCTACAGGAAATCTGGATGAGGCTGGATTCCAGGATTCCAAGGATTAGGACTTCCCACATGACCACCCAGCCAGCTGGCATATGAAGGAGGAGGGAAGGAGCAGAGCCTTGGCGCCAGCACCTGGTCTGGTATGGAAATGCTGGGGGG